AATGAGGGGAAAAGGGAGACCCACCCACATCACAAACTATCCGCCCCATAACCTGGTTATCAGAAATGCTGAGAACTTCTAGGAAAGAGACACAGAAATTTGGGAGGAGAGGCCTAGTAGGAGGTTTGCCACTCATTGCAACTGCTTCCTAAATGACATTTATTCATCTATCTATTTATCTATCTATCTATCTATCTATCTATGTGTCTATCATGTAAAGCAGTAATGAGATCTCAAAAGGTCAATGTGCAACCTTCTTCCAACAGGCACTTGCCAGATGAGCAATGCTTTACAAACCCACATTAACAAAGCAGCATTTTGTAACCATCCTCAACATTTCCATGCAACAGCTGTGGCAGCTGTGGTTTCTTCTAGATGAAAAGCATTAATCCACAGGGGTTCAGAGAGTGTTTCTCCACCACATCAGTGCAAGCATCCTAGTGTTTTCAGTTTGAACTGGTAGAAGAAATGAATATTATGAAATCTAGAAGCAGCTAATAATTTATGAGCAAGGATATTCAGACCTACTTGAAACCCAGGCAAGATACCCCAAGACATGGTGGCTGTATTACACAGACAGCAGTCTCACCGGATCAGCGAATCATCTAATTTTAACCTGCTGACAAATCTACCGGATCAGCAGTAACACTAGGGCTACACCAACTGACTGACTCTGCAATCAGAGTGAATCACATAATTGCTTTCTTCCTCATTTTCCCTATTTGCAAAGCAGAAGCAAATACAACACACATCTCCCAGATAAAAAGTGGGGACAAGTTCATTATTTGGAGATCACCTTGATGATCCTCAAGTCATGGAAGTGCTGAGTATAGATCAGCAAGCATTTAAGATAAAGAGCTTAAAAGGTGTAAAAAGGAGAAAGGTCTCTGTGAAGATTATGTTGAAAACATAGGTTGGAGTACTACTCCTGGAGGTTTAACAAAGGGCTGTGCAGAACCTGCTAACTTCCCCTAAGACAGATGAGGCTCAGCCAGCACTGGGAGTTGAGCCCAGAATCCCATTTGTAAGGGCAGTGCTCTAATCAGATGAGCAACAACACCCGCTGGCAGGAGACCCACACTGGTGGTTTCTGCACTGTAGGGGGTGATCTCTTCTCTGATGATGCATGTTCCTGTCTCCTGAAACCAAAGGGTTCAGCTCTGGCTAGCAGTGACAGCACTTCTGAGAGCTAAATTATTACTCAAGTTTACCACTCCCACTTCCAAGTTCCTCTTTCTCCAGAGCCACTGCTTGCAGGTTGGGATCTTTCCAAGCCATACCAGAATGCCAAGCCTAGGCTGGATGTTGCGATACCCTTAATGAGACAGAAAAGGCACAAGTCACACGATCAGGGACAGGAAGAGGGTGAGGACCTGTGCCACACGTGAGACACATGCATTGCAGACTACTTTTCTGCCTGTTGGTTGTAGGTTAAAGGTATAAAATGAGAGCAGCTTTGCCAGTTGAGCTACAACACTGTAAGCTTTCCCTTATTATAATTTTACCATCAGGTGCTGTTCTGTTGCAGAAAGACTTCATGCTAACATTGTTTGTTATCGGTTAAGTAAGAATGACCTATGCATCAGGCTTTTTGATGTATCCAGCTAAACAGAGTTACATTTGAGGACAGTAATTTTGGCCATTTGTATAGCTCCATTTGTATACCTCACCATAACAGAGACATAACCTACTTGCCTTTTAGAAACACCCTGTCTGCGCACATCCTGTGCTCTGGGCAGCCGAAATGTAACCATGGCTGACCCTTGTTAAACAGAATCCTTCAATATGAGTATCACTTTATGATGCTGATAAAAAAACGTAGTTTCAGGTTTTAAAATGTGCCCACCAGAATAAAAATATGTTCCATACGTGATATATGTAGTTACGCTTGGACACATCTCATGACAGCCTTTTCCTGACTCTGGAACAACCATCAGAACAGTTCTGACTTCATCAACCCAAGGAGAAATTTCAAGAGAAACATTTCCTATTCCAGTATGACACCCAAGATAAACAACTGGAGAACAATCTATAAGCTAATGCGGGATATAGATGGCAGCCACTGTTACACTAAGGGGGATGACGTTTGTCACATATCTATTACAATACAAGAATAGAATTGCATCAGGAACAAAAGATAAGTCAGTCTTTGAAAGAAGATTGGAAACCTTTAACAACAGCCTTAGCTCAGTTGTTTTCTTTGCAACACACAACCTGAGAAGGACCGAATACAAAAGGCTGCCCTTTGAAACAAGGCGAGGATCAAGGATAGCGGAAGGGGCTGCACAGAAACATTAGTGCTGTGAATGATAAACCTTCGAAAGTGGTTTCTGAATGGTCTGAGATGACATAGAACCTAAACCACCCACAACACAGAAACCAACATTTAGTGGAGAAGCGATTCTGATGAGCAAATGATTGAACGAATTTTCACTTTCAAAAGGGAAAAACTCCTCAAGCGTAAACTACAGACAAGGCAAGTCCTTCTCTCCCATTTGCTTTTCCCACTCCCGCTGTCATCTTTTCCTTCAGCTAGGAGGCTGGGATCCTATGCATTTAAAATGCGATGAAAATGATAAATAAAAACGTAAAACAAGAGAGTCCCCTGGTCAGTACATGGACTGCTCATCCTGAACATAAACAGTTGAAGAGACATGTTTTGGAGACAGGTCCACTACCAGTCCTCCAAGATCAAAGGGAAAAAAAAATGATGGGTGTGAGGATGTAGTTCAGTTACCCCATAATCCCTTAAAGCAAGTCCTGTTCCTCACAGGAAGAGTACATGTCTAGCTTTTGAATGTTGGCTCTGTCTGGCAATCTGAACGCACTCAGCTCTGGGACAAAGATTTAGCTGAAATATAGAAAGGAATGATAAGAAGAAAGACCCCTAGACCTGGTATTCGGTAAAAGGAGTGCTTCCTACAATATTCTTCCCTTCCTTGGTGATTCCTGACCTTGGACTACTTACCTGTATTATCTGACATGTCTTAAAAGTAATGAGAAGAAATGATTGAAGCAGCAGCAACTTGAGAGTGTGACTCTTCAGAATTCCTCCTCCAGTGTGTGTTAGAGCCAGTTGTAGTGTAGAAAAAGCCCCCAAGCCAAACAAAACCACCTAAAACTTCCTTCAGAAAGCTGCATTTGTTATCAGTCCTACTAGAAATGAAAATTTCTGGCAGCATAACTGCTATTGCTTCAGAGCTACATTTCACTGAAGGAACAGAAACCAGAGCGAGAACTCAAACTAGTTCACAGTCTAGTCAGAGGCACAAAATGAAACCAATTTAGGACGGGCAGACAGAGCCTCGAGCAGGAGCTTTCCATGTCCCTTTTCACTGCAGCTATGACCATTTCAACAGTCCCATTGCATCTCTTTGTTGCTTAACACAAGGAGGTGAGGACAAAAGCCTTACTGGAAAACACCTGGTGGAGGCTGTTCTCTCCTACAGCTGCCAAGTGCAGTTTGGTGAATTAGTGAATTTGCTCCCTTCCTCGAGCAGGTTCAATGAGACTGTTGTTGTACTTGCAGAAACCAGTGGTTGTCACAGTGGGAAAGGTATGAAGTGGGAGTTTTATAGGGACTCGTTCTTGGGTCAATACTAGCCAGCATTTTAATTGATTTAGGAGTATACAAATCAAAAGCTGAGAAGTGGCGTGGGCAGACTACAAGTGCTTTGGAGGAGAAAAAGTCCTGCCAGATTATTAAATTTAAGATGTATTTAAAGATTTAAACTGGTAAAGTTAAGCTGAAAACAATGTATTAAAATCTAACACTAAGGGAAAAAAACCAACATTGTAAATCAGTGGCTTATCTATTCAATTACCTTTGGAATGATTTAGCTACAACAGAAAAGAACAAAGTGCGATTCTTGTAATTAGCTCACTCTGCTACCATTTCAGTGTGAATCCTCCTCTGCTCATTGTGAAGAGCACAGAACTGCACTGTCACATTCTCATGAATGAAACAATTGAAAGTTGGCTTCTTCTGTACTAAAACTGCAGCAGTGAGTGAAATGTGAAGGAAGTGGGTGGAAAACAGTGCCAGAATGGAAGCAAATGCAGCAGAAAACATTCAATATGGGATGAACACCCCTTGATCAGTGTTCAAGGCCACCGTGGGTTGTACACCTACCTCAAAATGTGCATGTCCTTTTGAAGGGGGGGAACCATGTATTAACCAGTAACACAGGCCAAGCAATACCACACGGCTGCTGAACAAATTCACATTTTTCAGCTCAGTTTCATTAAAAATCAAGGTCCCCCTGAACAGAAATGTCTATTCATGTTACTAAATATTTTGGATCAGCAAAATATCTTATAAGCCTTAAAGACAGGGCACAAGAAGATTTCCATTCCTTTGTTGCCTCATGACTGAACTCTTAAGTTATATTAATGCTTTCTTTAGTGACTAGGTTTACAGATTTACCTGAAGTACCTCAGAAATGCCTGGCATGTGTGACCTAAGCACCTTTTCAGTATTTTAAAAACATTTATAGAATCATAGAATGGTTTGGGTTGGAAGAGACCTTGAGATCATCCAGTTCCAACCCCCCTGCCATGGCAGCAACACCTCCCACTAGACCAGGTTGCTTAAGTCCTGTCTAACCTGGCCTTAATGTTCTGCAGTTTTACCTTCCCTCCTAACACTACTTTTATATACACAGTTCTTTTCAAGTATGTGACATTTGACAAAAAAAGTCATGAATCCTCAGTAAGGTGTCAAAACTTTATTGGGTTCACTCAACATCTGTGAGGATTCATGTAGAATATAAAAAAAATTCAGTTCCTTTTTAATCTTCAACAGAAGTACAGTAAGTTTTCTGGTGTCATCACAGCATTCTCATTCGTTTTCATGCAGCCATTTTTTGTACAAACAGAACGCGGACCAAAGTAACTGTAGGAAATCACTGAGGTAAGAAATGTCTCTAATAGTACTCTCATCCTTTACTAGACAAGGCATTGAACATTTTTTTCCTACAATGGAAAAAAGAAGACAGGTGTTTTATCCATAGCTTTATTTCACCAGGAAGGTTTATACAGTTCTGCATAAAGGTCATTGTATGCACAGCCTCAAGTACAAAGCTCCCTTTGAAAACTCCAGCACAAAGACACTGCATATTGACAACATTAAACGGCAATGTGGGTGGTATAGGGCGAAAAAAAAAAAACCAGATTAAAACAAACCAGCATTCTTCCTATTGGAAAAGCAGAATAAAACAAGGCACTTTCAGTAAATAAGTGAAGAACAGAAACAAGTTGTATCAAAGGTTCCACAGAACTGACCCAGAGCACTGTAACAAAATTCTGCAGTAATGAACAAGTAAAATACAAAAAGGCACTACATAATCCTCTCCCTGCAACTCCTCTTTCTTAACCGATTAGCCAACTGAACTTGGCACAATGGAGTTTTAATTATAAAGTGCATTTCCTGTCTTAATACATTTTGAAAAATAGGCTATAGAACACATGTAGAAATATCCCCATGTGTACGATATATTGAAACAAAAATACATTGCAACTAGATTCAATCTAGTTATGAACTGTGCAGGAAAAAAATATGGCTTCTTTACAAGTCTTTCAATAACCTCCATATAATCTGGACTATTTTTAAACAAACACGAATGCATTAGCAAGATGGTAAGAGGTAGTGTTCCAAGTAAAAGGCAAACTCACCGATTTTATTGTTACATGGGTATATAGCAAAGGTATCCCAGATCTTCAAAGCAGTGTTACCAAGCAAAAGTATTACAGCATGCTCTCTTGGGATGAAAATACACAGTGTTTTGGGGGTCTCATATTACTTCCTTCAGCAAAAATGACCAGTCTTTTAAAAATGTCCAACTATAATCCCATTTTGTAAGTACTCTTCTCTTGGTACTGTCAGGTTTCCTATTGCATTGCATTAAAATTTCCGGAGAAATATTCTTCAACTTCAGAATTTAAAACCAACATATTCTACCCTCTTATTAAACAAAAGATGAGTCTGTTTTTACTTCAACAAGCATTAATTTATGGCTATAAGAATACAAAAACACAAATACCAAACAGATGAACACATCAAGTGTGTCACATCAGTGGCAACAGATGACATGCTAGTTAGATGTTTGGTGATTCAACGTGAAGCTTTTGTCACCCCGCTAGGAAAGTCAGCCAAATTGTGTATGTACACTATCTAAACTTTAGCTGATTTTAGCCCTTATTTAGACTTTAATATATTAAATATATAAAGGCTACATAAAAACTGAAATCAAAGCAGCAATGGGTATATTTCTTATGTTAATAATTTGTAAAGATTTATGTAAACATTCAATATGTGCATTCTTGCTCTTTGCTGTAAATTCTTCACAGCTACTCTGTACCTCTCTACCCAAAGAGTATGTCCCAGACATGAAGCTTTCTCAGGTACCAGCAGCTGCTACTGATCTATTCTTCTTCATCAGCAGTATATGCTACTTCAGCGACTTCAATTTCTGGTACAGAATTTTCAGGCAAAGAGCCACTCCAGCATGCATCATGGTTCTCTTTATCTGAGCTGCAACAACAGATCAATAAAAGCTTTGTCAAATGGAAACTAATATGATTCTCCGAAGTAATTTCATGCTGTCAATCCACAAAACATTTATAAAGCTTGTTCAACTTATCACTTATTCCAGATCTAAAATTATCTATCCTGAGGGCCTTTATGTAGCAGAGAGGTCCTCAGCACGTGCAGAATTTACGCAAGACCAAACATTTAAAAACATACTTAAAAAAAAAAATATTATAAATGAAATAATAGTATTTACCAGCTGTCCTCACCCAGGGTACCCTGGTCTGCTTCTACTGCAGAAGACTCCACCTCACCACTGCACTCACTTCCTTCTCCTGACATTTGACGAGTCATTTTTCCTAAAGATAAATCCCTACAACAAATAAGAAGAGAGTACCACCAATCCACACAGCACATATTCATCACTGAAAAGCTGCTTGATTAATTTTAAACTTTGCAGTTTCTGGGAACCTATCGATCTCATTCCTACATGCCCCATTTCTTTTATTACTACAGGGATGCAGGGTTTGCCCTGGATAGCTATTTAAACAGTTTATTTGCTCCAGCTGCTTATTCCTAAACTAAGTTAAATCCTTTGGTTGCATCACAATTTAGTAGATTTACAAAGTTCAAGTCCCAGAGGAGTGATTATGACTTCAGGTAAGAAATTACATGCAGATGATCTAAGCCACACACGTTGCCTAAATGGCAGAAGGATTACAGCCAAAACACAGTCAGAACAAAGAAAGCCAGGATGACAAAAACATTTTTCCGAGTTCCTCACTGTAACTTTATAGAGCCACATATTAAATTCCAGAGCAGTACATTTTCCCATTTATAATCAATGGGAAGCTGTAGATGCTCCATCCCTGGAAGTGTTCAAGTCCAGGTTGGATGGGGCTTTGAAGAACCTGCTCTAGTGGAAGATGTTCTTGTCTATGACAGGGTGTTGGATCTAGATGAACTGTAAGGTCCCTTCCAATCCAAACCATTCTGTGATTCTATGCTCCAGACAGTAACTTCTTCTTAACAGCAACACACGTTGGCAGCCTGACTCACTTGGCTACAAACAGAAACACGGGTGTGCAAAATTACAAAAATTGTCTCCAAAGTATTGCTCTGTGTGGAAAACATACATCAACTTAGTGCTGAACGCTGCTGTCTGAATTGGAAAGAAAAGCTTATGAACAATTTTGCTTTGGAAGTGATACTACTATATTTCACCCTCTTTTAAAATTAGTCTAACTACTACTGTTTCTACAGTTTCACTTTAATGCATGCATTTTAAGTAAGACCTCAACAGTATTCTCCAACATGATTACTGGCCTATGTTTGGGCCTAATACAGCGTACGTAAAGGACTACAAGTCTGATGACTTGTTCGACTGTCCCCTCCTACCTCACATACGTTTTAGACACCCAGCCTTAGAGAACATATAAGCAGAAGATCCTTAATTCTTTTGGGCCAAAAGAATTTTCACTTCAATGAAGCCAAAAAGAGATCTTTTCATTTTGTGTGAAATTGCCATCAGGCAAACAATTTCCTAAACAAGGATCATGGGTTTACTTAGCAACTTTTACAACTAAAAATCAGAGTTATTTTCCATCAAGACTTCAGACACTACTTGGCTGACTTTCAGTAATTTTAAATGTCTGGAAAACTTGCAGGGTGTTTGTCTTCAGGGAAAGCACTAAAAAGGTCTTTTTTTGCTACTCATGCCTTCTTATTTTATTTTAGTCACATAGAATTTCCTGTCATGGTATTTTAGCCAAACGCAAGTTATCTCATTTTTATTGACTATTCCACTATTTAAGCCAGCATTAAGTCATAACTTTGTCATCAAACAGGGAATGTAATCTTTCAAATGTAATTACTTGCCTTCAGGAGCAAGTAACAAGCTGAATATGGTATGCTGATCAAAACCTTCAACAAGCCACAATTCCATTTAAATCCTTTCCAAAATGTAATTCACTTAAACCTTACATCCAAAGACGTGATTTCTTAGACCCAGATATACTAGACTCAAAACCCCAAGGAGTATTAAAATAACTTCTAAAGGGACCATGAGAATTCACTCCTTTGCTAAGGAAACCCCATAATGACTGATTCAGCAGGTCTGACCGGGCTCAACATCAACTCCCTGGGCCAGCTACAAAATTTAGCAGACTGGTACCATAAAGTTTTATAATGAACTCCACCATTTTTAGCTTGGATTTAAATGGACAATCTCCAGTACTACTTAAATGCTATTGGCAGCATTGTTCCAGGCAATTCAGAATAGTGAGAGACATTAATAGAGACAGAATCACTTGATCACTAAGTTCTGTCAAAGCTTACTCAAAGCTTTTTACGGGCACAATTTGTAACTCAAAGCAATTTTTCCACTGCTCTCATCTCTAGCAGGGCATTTCACATAGCCAACGTTTCAAAAGCAGAATAGGATCTTTGCTTTATCCTTACAGGACTTAAAGAATTAGGAAACATAATCCCAATTACTTTATAGGGAAAAGATGGGACAACAGCTTCTCAGTCATTTGTACTAAACAACAGCTCTTTAGCCAGCATATGAAAAAGAGCCTACTGAAAATACTGCTTTGTGTGTGGTTATCTAGGGAAAATTTATTCCAAGAACACAGTTAGCTGGTGCTTGTGACTATATAGATAAAACTTCTTCATGGAAAGAAACTCCTAGAATCCATGACATCTTTACATACCTAATTCTTCTTTCAACAGCATCTATATGAAGTTGCTTTTCATGTAGCAGTTTCTTCAGTGACTCAACCTCCCTTTGTTTTTCAAGCAGTTCTTTTTGTAGGCGGTAATTTGTTTCCTCCAGAGTTTCACAGAAAGCCTAAAAGACAAATTTAAGAACATCTTCCTTTTAACTTTAGTGGACTGTCTTTATTGATTTTTCCTTTAGAAATATCAACCTATAACAGAATTGTAGCCACTTTTCTTTGTATTGATTACTATAGGGAGCTATATAAACTTAAAAAAAAAAAAAGAAGTTCTGTCATCAATAAAACAATGCTGCTTTGTTTTGAACAATGAATTCATTATGCTAAACTTCAACACAAATACTTTATTGTATCATTTGTTTGTCTCACAAAAGAGACTTCAGAAAGAGGCTTCTCACCTTTCATGTGCAGTCCCTAATTTTGAGCCTTGGTAATGTTCCACCTATATGGATCAACAGCTGAACTCCCTACTCCCTTTTCCCCTCATATAAGCTTTCCTTTCACATGACTGCGAAGTCAATTTTAAAACATTTAATTATTCCCAAGATGCTAGGAGTATTAGGATAAAGTACATGTTCCTCCCTTGCCCAGGATAAAGACAAAGTTTTACAGTTCTGTACCAAACACCTGTTACTAATATGAAATCCTAAGTCAGAAGACCAATACAGAACTATTCTGAAATGAAACGCTAACAACACTAACTACTCAACCATGATAAGTATGTTGTGTTACCCTGCTGAGCATGACGTGTTATGTAGTACACCCTGACAAATTTGATCAGTGAGCAATCTCAGAACTTAATGTGAAGAGCCAATGTGTAATGGAGCATCCAAGGAATGCAGGAAGTGACAGAAGCATTGGCACAGAGCCTGCTAATCTATTACTGGACACAGCAAGTCTACCAACAGTAATGGCAATTCTGATTTAATAATTTACATGTTCTCACTAAATAAGACCCATGTGGGAGGCTTTCTTGGCTTAACATTACATGCAACTAACCACTAATTCACAAAGTCCACCGAATATAAACATTTTATATGAGCTCAGTTAAGAACACTATTGTTAAGACATTGTTTTCCTAAAGTTTAAAAATGAGCTACAAACATCAAGAAGATACTATTCTTCATTTTAACTCAAGAAGACTTACCAACTTCTTATAAATGTTAAGTTTTCCTGTAGTTACAGAATTCAAAAAAACTAAGTTTTTCAATCCAAAAAACATTTGATTTATTTTGCATTGAGTTCTAATTTATTTTATTGACTCAGATAGCAAATTTATCTTTGTTGCCAGGCATTGAAGACCAACCATCAGTTAAACCACAGCTTTATTCGCATCTACTAGAGCCAAGAACATGTGGCATGCAATCCATTCTTCACACAGCATTTTTAGTGATTGCTTTAGCAACGAGTCTGGTTAAGCAGTCATCCTGTTTCATCCAAGCCAGTTAAGTGACTTCTAGTGTATTGTGTAAAACTATTAAGGTTGCTGGTGCCCTAACTGAAAGGTAACCATTATTTCCTTAAGAATATAATTAAATTATATTATTTCTACTTGTAGATTTATGCACATGCAAATTTCCCTATTCACAGAATAAAAAAAACAAATAAAAAATTCCACAGGTGTTGTGAACTGTTTCATTTTTCTATACCAGAACTGAACAAAACCTTTTGTAAAAACTCCTCTCTAGCTGCGATCTGTGTATCAGCTGCCCAAGGAAAGGAAGTCGCTGTTCAAAACTGAGTAACAAAACATCAGCATATTCTGAACGATTTTTCAGCAGAAAGGTGAACCAAAGCTGAAGAAGACCTAGCAGGAAATTGTGCGTTATCTTACTCCTTGAAGAGCAGAACACCCAGAGTCTGTACAATTCTAATACCCAGGTGGGACCAATTTTCCCTTTAAGTCCTGAAAGAGTAACAGAACTAGGACAGCTGGAAAAGAGCTTTGTTTCCTTCTTCAGTAGATCATGAAATACAGATGGCTAGGAGAGGACCTGTGGAAACAGTTACCAAAGGTATGAGGCCAAAAAAAAAGGGAGAAAAAAAAAAGGAAAAGAAAAAGTAAAAGAGATAATGACTATTTTGTTTACATTTCTGTAAGGTCTAATTGAGCTAATTGATTTCTAATGTAGGAGGTATCTGTATCCCTCCCTGAAAAGATAAAAGAGATAAATATGTGTTGTCCTTTTTTGAACTGGAGTAACAGAATAGACATAAACCAAAATGAAGATATCCATATTCTGCATTTTGCAATTCTTTTTATGGTAACAGTAAGGCAAAACAGAAGCAATTTTTGCGACACCTTTAAAAATGAACTCCAGGAATATGTACATGAACCTCAGTGCTTGTCCTGTACTTGTGCATTGTTTGTGGGGAAGAAAAAGGCAAGGGATGGACATACATGCTCTCTGATATGTAGGAGTTCAGGATCCTTAACAGGCAGGAGCAGGGCAAAAAGCAGGACAACCATAGATTTCAGGTGAGCAGATTTCAGTCTCTTCAGAAATCTGCCTGGAAGGAAGAAGCCATGGGAAACCACCTTGGAGAGAACAGCTATGTAGAAGAGCTAGTTGCTATTCAAGCATCACCACCTTCAAGCTCAATAAAGTTCCAGATCAACCAGCAGGAAGTCAAGCAAATGTTTAAGGAGGCCTGTATGGATGAGCAAGAAACCCCTAACTCAGCTCAAGACATAAAAAGCCAGTGTACTAGTGGCAGAAGCATGGAGAGGTGACCCAGGAGAACTACAGGGCTGCTGTCTGATCTTACAGGGATAGGGTTAAGAAAGTGAAGGCCAACCTAGGGCTGAACCTGGCAAGGCACGTGAAAAGAAAAAGAAAGGATTCTACAAGCACATAATTAACAAAAGGAAGACCAGTGAAACCATGGACCTGCTGCCAAATTGAGTGGGTGAACTTGTGACAAATCACAGTGAAAAGGTTAAGGTACTCGATGCCATCTTTGCCTGTCTTCACTGTTAAGACCAGCCTTTGGGAATCCCAGACCTCTGCAACCAGAGGGAAAGACAAGGAAGGGTAAAACAAGCTTACCCTCAGTGTTGGGGGACAAGATGAACTAGACATACTTAAGTCCATGTGGCCTGACAGGTTGTACCTGTGAGTGCTGAGGTGCAGTTGTGGAGGGAGCTGGCTAAGCTCCAGCTTGTCCACCAGTACCTCAGGTCTCATGATTCAAATATCATAATCAAAGATAATTAAGGGACTTGAGCATCTTCCATGTGATAAAGAGGAGTGAGCTGGAACTCTTAGTCTGGAGAAGAGAAGGCTTAGGGTGATCTTATCAAGGGAGGGAATGAAGAAGAGGGAGCCAAACTCTTCTTATTGGTGCCCACTAACAGGACAAGAGACAATGGGCACAAATTAAAACCCATGAAATTCAATCTGAAAACACAAACCACTTTTTTACTGCAACAGTGATCAAACACTAGAGCAGGCTGCATAGAGAGGTTGTGAGTTCTCTGCAGGATATTCAAACCTGACTGGACATGATCCTGGGCAACCTGCAGCAGCTGACCTTGTTCAAGCAGAAGGACTGGACTAGATGATCTCAAGAGGTCCCTTCCAACCTCAGCCACTCTAATAAAGTGAGGTACACCCTTGGAAACCAGAATTTTATGACAACTGTCTCTAGCAACTTTACAGAAATGGTTAATAGCCAAGGCCACAACAGCACAGCTATTTTAATAGTTTACCTAAATTCCTGTGGTGGAAGAATAACCCTGAAATTTCACCACTGTACACATAATCAAAGTATCAATGAAAGCAGCACTTAAATTTCTTACTTATCTGAACAAATAATTCCTGTAATTTTTATTGATTTTCATCAACTTAAATAGCTATGATGAAAAGTGTTTGTACAGAAATCAAATATGAGCTTGTAACACAAAAAAACCCCCAAATCCTTCAGTTATACACAGTAATGTAAGAGCCAAGGCACTCCCACTTGCATGCAAAAGAAACTGGTGGATATAAATCTAGTTGAATGAGTACCACTTAACATTCATAATTTCTATAGTATTAACAAGGTACGTGCAATTCTAAAACATTCATATTCTATAAAGCAAGAAACCTAAGACCACTTGTTCTAGACAGACTTGACACAGCTTTGCATACCAGTGAAACCTACTTCGCATAAAACAGGCTGCAGCATACAGCACTATTTGTTCAGTGTGCTCATATGCATGTTGAAAGGCTGCTGCTTTACTACACTACTTGATACTACTAAATAGAACACTTTTTTGTAGTCAGAATTAATCTTTTCATTACATTTCATAGCAAGAAACATTTTACAGCAAGACCTGAAGTTTAAGCTGTAGGCATTGAGACAATGTGTTGAATGTAAGCCTACAAAACATGTCTTTATACTCAGTAATTGCCTTAAAAACAAGTTTCACCTACTGGTCATAAAAGGCAACAAAGAAGAGATCACAGCTTGGGACAGCGATGATGTACAGCAGTCAAAGATTATAGTGTGCACCAATAATTAGATTGTCAGTTTTAGGAATACATCTATTTGCAAATTTTTGTGATAAAATAGAAGATAAAGTGTTCCATTCCCTACCACTCAGCAGGTTTTACAATATTCTTTCAACAACTGCCTTTTGCATTCTGCTTTTATCATACTACATAGCACTTACCCTGCTCTCTTCTAGACTGTCAAAAGGACCTGGAGGATCATCCAGACAAAGAAATTCTCTCACTGCAAGGCTTTAGAAAAAAAAAAAAAAATAATAGAGTGTGAATTACTTGAAGTATATGAAAAAAAAAGCAACACCACTTAAATACAATCATACAAGGGCAGTATTTCTTTACAGGACACAAGCATCTCTCCTCAGATTTACTCCTAAGCATTTAAAATAATGTTAACAAACTATTAAATACCTTAAGGCTGTGACTTAAGTTACACAGGTACAATTAAGAGTTTGTCTAAATTTGTCAATTTAGAACATGATTTTTCAAATCTTCATAAAATTTGTTGCTACAGGACAACTGAGAAACAAGTTTATCACTTTGGTATTAAATAGATTTGAAAAATAAATTTTAGAAGATGGATGAAAAAAGTGTGCTGCTAAAATCCACACGCAGATCCCCAAAGGAAATACCAGTGGAACTAAGCACTGGCACTAAAACATGCTTATGTGTCTCCATTTTGCTAAGATCATAATCCACTGACATATACACAGTATATAATTTTTATATTTACAGTATATTTTATATATGCATATTTAAAAGAATAAGTTATAAAACAATAAGAAGTGACAAGGTTAATGTGCTATGGATATACTATATAGCCATCTCTAAACGCGCTTTCCAAACTAGTGCATTCAACTTAAAATTGTGTAACAGATGTCATTCCCCTCTGTGCAATTTTACGAAGGCCAGAAGGAAGTATGTGTAATCCTGTGGTTTACTACAGAGTATGTTGAGCATTTTGCTCATTCTATCTTCCAAGTTCAGATTACTTTTCAGAGAACTCTTCAGCATCTCCAAACATGTCTTTCTTCCACCTTTCTAAGACTCCCCTACTCTGTTGTACTCATTCTTCTATAAATGACCTCCAATCAGAACACTCTGTTCACAATTAACAAGTAGTAACTTACTCACAATTCTGTGCTTGCACTCACTACTATAAATCTTCAAATAATCTCCTAATGGAACGAATATACAAAAATGGAAGACATGAATCCAAACTAATTCCCTGTCTCTTCCTTCCACCTATGCCCCATGGGAAGGTGAGGACAACAGGAATAATTTCCTGCCTTCCACTCATTCTCTGCATTTGAGGCAGACACAAAATGCAAGCACAAGAAGGTAAACTTTTACCCTGCTACCGCTCTAATCAAAGTTTCAGGTTTGGCAAGCAAAATGAGGACAAATTTCTTCAGCAAACACTAGTCACGATGATACTATCACTTTTATGTTTAGAAAGGCTATAAAGAATACTTAACTAAACTACAGTGAACCTTTACTTTGTTGTTGGATTTTTATGAGTCTGCTTTCAAGTACTTATTGCATGAGAAGACAGAGGTGAGGTTTTTTGGCCAATGGCTAGTGAGAATTCTTAATACCCATTTTTACCTCATCAGCCTTTACCCCATTCTGGAAAAAATTCTTCTATAATCACGATCATTCTTTTCCCCACTTAATCTATGAGACAAATGTAATAAACCCTTTCTTTTTTCAAGCCCCCTCTGCTGTTTTACATAAATCAAATCCATGATCTATGCAAGCCATAGCCTAAACCCGTACTAGAAAAACGGCTTCTCCCATGTACTCAAACAAATAATGAAAAAATTCTGCTACTTAAACCAAGATTATCACTCCAATTAGCATAAAAAAAATGATATATGGTATCAGGTCATTAGTTAAATGATTAGAACATAACCTCAAACCAAATAAAAAGTTATTTGGGCATATAAAGTACATTCTCAAAGAGAACAGCAGGGTTGGTTTTTTTCCTCTACAAACAGTTTAATGCGAAGTGACCCTTTTCCAACATGATACTTAAGTCCATTTTTTAATGGTTGAATTGTTCTTTTCATAAAGATGCTGAAGGAACTCACTTAAGCCTAATGTAGAAGAACTCATTATGCGGAAACACTTCTGCTTACCATTCTTCTTCAATAACTTCATCCTTATCTACATAGCTCAGTTGAAACACTTTAGAAGAATTTTATTTCTGTATTTTGTTAGAAAATTTGTTGTGTTAATGGGTAACATAAAAATGGCATAACACGCAGTAATGCTTGTGAGAGAAAAACAAAATAACCAGAAAAATAAATGTGCAGAAATATCCAATCCACATATATCAACTACTTACATGAGGTCAACCCCCTCACTTCTTTTTTTGTTTTCCCTGCAGTTGATGGCAGAAAAGTGTCTCTCTTTCTAGTTTTCAAAACTTCTTATAATTGAAAACTGTAGATTCATTGTTTTACATAAGGAGGTCAAGAAACTTAAAGCTACAGGTCACTGAAAACATTGTTTCTTTACCTAAAATATTCACCTGATTATACTGTATAAACATTCATTTGCAGCCTATCTTTACTCAGAGTCTGCTCCAACCCTGCTCTCCCCTCCACATGCTACATCTCTTACTTTCACTTAACAAAGGAGAATTCTGCCTCAAAAATATAACAGAAATCTTCTATATCATGTAACAGAGATTGCCATACATAGTTTCTTTCTTTACTTCATCCCATGCTAGCTGACATCCTTCTTAAGAGAGACACCAGCACTAAGAAAGGCAGCAAGGGATGGTGCAGCACACAGACAAGATTCAACAGCTGTCTGAGTTCCCCCTTTTCAAACTGGTTCTTACAGAAGGTGGAAGCAGAGGAGAGCTGTGTCATCCGTATAAAGCCAGATAACAATTCTGTTTAGCAGGTTAAACTCCTTTCTCCCACTTCATGGGTTATATGCAACTTTCTTGAACGCATTAAACTCTGGGTGGATTTCAATTTAATCTTTTACTGAATCTTCAATACAAGGCAAAATATAGAGAAGAAATCCATAAAAATACAGACTTGTAACTTAGTCACCTGCCTACCATCCTATATTTTATCTTTAAACTACTTTACAAAGCTAGTTTTATTAAAAAATAGGTATACCAAATGAGGTCTCCTACCCCTGAAAGGCAAATTTCCCACTGGCAATATATCTCAGTGATAATACAGTACATAAAGAAAACAAAACTTCTCTCCAACGAGAAAAGGCTCATTTGGTTTTGGTGTGACCAAAGCAGTTTGATTTATTCACAAAACTGAAGTAAATGGAAAGCTTGTAAGGAAGAAGCAGGGTCATATGTTCACAACTGCCCATGTAAGGTGCAAATACTAATTTCCATTAATAGTAACGTCTACTCTTTGTAACTGGCTAAAAAATACCAGATGGCTCAAATCTCCCTAGTTTTAATCACCTCCCAAGGAATCCAGACCTTCCATAGATCCAAACAATTGAACAAAAGCTGTACCAACAAGTCACAGAGCTTTTTAATAAACTTAATCTTCACGCAGATCCCTACACAGCCAAGATCAGAATTTTCCTCAAAAACATGCTTCAATTAACTACCTGTTCATTAACCAAAATACAAACTGATTCCACAAGTACTTAAATTCCCTTTTGTATCCGATGAGCAATGAGGTCCAAAAGTTTTGTGAGCCTTTTTGCCTTAAGTGACGAACTATTTTGTCCAATATCAACCACTATCAAGATACCAACAAGCTACTGAAATGGAAACTAGCTGCAACAACATGAAGCATAAAGGTTTCAGAATTGTTCAAGCTGACTAAAAGTCCATCCTGCTCACTAGTCTGTCTCCAGCAACGTAACACAAGTAACATTTAATTCCTTTTTTCTTGGCACACCTATTATTGTGTTACTTAATAATCAGGAAGTTCTTAAAAGTTCTCAGCCACATATTTCATCCATACAATCATGTTTAATAGCTACTGACAGAAATTCACAGGTTGATCCTAACTTCTTTTTGGAAACCATTTAAGCTTTCTGTCTCTGACATCTCACAACAAAGCCTCATAATTCAGCGTGACATACTGAGAGATGACTACGAATCATCCGAAGTATTAATACTCGTTACTCACCTTCCCTATCCCCGTGATGATTTCATATGCCCTGTTTAGCCAGCCCTTTCCCAAGACAACAGACTATAGAAAACAGAACTCTTATTGCAGGGAAGCTTGTCTGTGGCTTCACCTGTTCCTGCTTGCTTTCTCTATACTTCTAGCAGACCCTCTTTTGAAACAGAATGCTGTGTTGTATCACTGGACTATGTGGAAGTGCAATTCAGACTCCCACAGCAGTAACTTTTTTTTTTCTCAAGTTCCTCTTCAACAATTTTTATGCAACTTTTTGATTACTGTTAAACACTGAACTGATTCAGAAAACTGTAATACCACCAATAATTTTCCAGGTTGTAAGAAACAACTGAGGTTATAATTCTTCATTGATGTACTCACTGTCATTTTGCACTTCATGACATGAAAATTAGCATTAGTCACTCAGTGCCTCAGAATCCTTCTACAGTACTTCAGGATCTCTTTGTTCATTCCTTTGTCCAGATAATTTACAGATACTGTGAACATCAGTGTCCATAGCTGTGATCCAGCATTCTATATGCAATATTGTGAAATTTCCATCAAACCTTCTCCCTTGCCTTTCAACCATTTTACACAAGCTTCCTCAAAACTACTTGTTAGATAGATTTCCCTCTGCAAGAGACATTATTGCTTTTCCCAGTATTATTTTTGTTTACCTGCTTACCACTTTGGGTTTGTTATTACAAGCAATACCAAATGTCAGACTTACTTAGTAATTTATAGTTTCCAGACTCAACAGTCAAGTGCCTTATAAAAAGGTGCCAACTGCAGTAATACACGTTCTACTAAAAAGTAAAGTAGATACAAGCATTATATGGTCTCACTCCACAGCTCAGCAATTTTTCATTTTAATTCCTTTAAAATTCTTGAGGGAATGCTGTTTGCTTTAACTGATTTCTTACTCTTTGTTTGCAATGAGGCTTCAGATGAAGACAGCTCCTCAGAGTATTTCCTCAAAGAATCTCTGGTACAGCAACCTCAAATTTTTTATTTCTCATGCTGGAAGCAACCTGCTTACTAAAATTCTCTTTTGGCCTATATTACAGTGATTTTACATTTAATTTGCCAGAATTCCAGCTTTGTAAGAACCTTCCACTTTGTATATAAAAAAAAAAAATATTGTTCAAAGAGACTTCTGTACTTTGTTGCTTAAACATACGTTTTTTAGACTCTAAAGCTTCTTTTGATTTGTGGATTACATTTACTTATGTAAAGCAATCTATAAGGTATTTATTACTAATATTTACATGATGTCATGTAAATTAAAAACCTTTAGTTTAATATGCATTTTAAGAACTAATTATATAATAGCATAGGTACTTTCCATTATGAAAGGTTAACATTTAATCTTAATATAAATTAGCAATTATCAATTCTACATTTAGCACAGAGAACTTCCATGTTCTAGAAGTAAACGTATTTAAGAAGTAAACATGGAATTAGTCTAATATTTTAAAATATTACAGCTTTTAGCTAGTAGTTAACCATGTGCAATTTCCTTTTTTTGCTTAAGTTAAGATGGGATTAATTTAATAGGACACTAAATAATTCACTTAACGACCAAATGCACAACATCAAGTTAACGGAATTCCTTACTATGTTGCACAAAGATACACTGCTGCAAGAGTCTAGGAGCCTATATAAGGAGTTTGGACCAAAAAAAAAAAAATCCAAATCCACAAGCAAAGTCGAATCACGTACCAGTTGGCAATATCTTTGTGAGCTACTAGGTTCTGAAGGAATGCTTGTAGTCCCAACTGTCGATCTTCCAAGAAGTCAGGATTATAATTATCCTTGAACCAGCGCTTTGGTGGAAGGGCCAACCGAAAGCCCGGAAACATATCTTTTAGCTGAAATAGAAATCAAAGCCAAAGAAAACCAAGAAAGAAAGTCTTGATGAAATACTAAGTTTGACACAGCACTGACTTTACTCATTACAGGATTTTTCTGTCTTCTGTTAAGTTCAAGCACAAGGTAAGTCTCACCCATAAATACAATCCAAATTATATTATAAATTATGGACACAGTTCTGCTATTTGCTGTATTGCCTTGCACACCTCTTAAATTTATCATATAAAAATAGGAATGAAAAACTTTGCTTTGTCACTTAACATCTGAGTCTGCTATCTAATACCTCTGAGTCAGTAAATTTAAGAAAACTATGTAAGTAAAAAGTATCAGATGAGTAAGCACTTTAGTGGTGTTTCTTTAGAGTACACAGGACAGTAGGTACTACATAAATACATAAAAGCCCATTACAGACCTATAACTCATCTTTTTTGGGAGGCTAGCAGAATAAATTATAACCCTTGCATGAGGTACTTCTAGTAAAAAGACTAGCTCCTTGAGCACCCAGAATAATAAAATTTCCACATGCACGGAAATGGCTCAAACCCTGGTACTAACATGCAAAATCATATTTTTGAGTTATTTAAAGAGTAATAGGGTATACACAATGTCAGAAATACCTAGAATTTTTCTCAATTCAGAAATTAAATATACAAATAAAGCATAAAATATGATGGACCTGTCCAAAGATTCCTATTAATTATTTTTAATATACATGAAGAACAAAAAAAAACATTAATGCTTTCATAAAAAACTACTTTAGATTCCTTTTCTTAGAAGGGATGCTTGACAGAAAAACCACAGAGGATTTACAAACAACAGGAAAAAGCAAACAGGTTTTACAAAATCTAATGCTCCTCCAATTGCCGCAAGAATTGTTTAAGCTTTTTCTGAAGACAGGATCAAACCAGCTTCCGTCAGGGATGCCCTGCATACATCTAATGTATTTGTATGAATGTTCTAGTGACAAGGATTCCAGAATCTGCCTTGAAAACAGTTTATATAGCTACAAGCTAATTCTTCAGTGTGTGTCTTGATCTTTGCATGGCAAAATTTTAGCCTTCTGACAGTAAGTTTTATTTAACTACTCTTCATGGACTCATGGAAAATAATTATGAGCAGCTCTTTCAGCAGATTAAGTTTTAAAAAAGTTCGCTATAATGTCTCTACAGCATGTAAAGGAAGAGCTACAATAGGGGATCACCCTTGCTTATAAGTACCATTTCACCGTATAAGAAGGACGGTTTTCTTAACATCACAAGTATTGTGTATTAGCTCATTAGTATTGTATACAGCCCATGATAACTACTAGTTTCTAATTTATAGAATGGTTTGTCGAAAATCTGCTCTTTATTTCTGCATTTAATTAT